TGGACAGGCCATTGAAGATGAACTGTGACGCCTCGTCACGAGGAGTGGGAGTGTCCATGCTCACTCGAAGTGGGGGTGCGCATCTGCACATTGAAGATGAACTGTGACGCCTCGTCACGAGGAGTGAGAGTGTCCATGCTCACTCGAAGTGGGGGTGCACATCTGCACATCCCTGGGTGTTCCCCGGGCTATGTGAGAGTTCATGTGGATTTTGAGTTTCATCAAGGTAAAACTTACTTGGTGCTCATGGAAGGGTTTTCGAAATGGCCTGAGGTAGGAGGAATACATGGATCAACAGCTGCACGAACTGTAGAGGCCTTAACCGAAATATTCGCCACGCATTGATTTCCCAGGACTTTGACGTCTCGTAATCGTCCTTTTTTCATGTCGGAGGAATTCAAGAAATACCTGCAGTTTTAAGGTACCTTCCATTGCCTTACACCACCATCATCTAGCCCCCAACAGGCGGACTTGTCAATGGTCAAAACATTCAAATCGTTTTTGAAGTTGGTTTCTGGTGCGGTACAGAGTACAGTGCTTGGCCACTGGGAGAACACGTGCAGAGTTAATGCTTGGAAGGTTGCCTTGCCCCAGGTCTTCACTTCTCAATCCTTCTGTGTCCCTGCGGTTGCGGGATACTACATATTTTTTATTTGGTACTCACAGAGAACTCGTTCGAGGTGACGCGGTACTGCTGAGAGCCATGCGGTCGGTCTCTTCCGTCAAATGGCGCCGAGCGACCGTGGTCACACGTGCTGGCCCGCTAGTCCACGAGGCTTGCACGGACGACAAAACCAGACGCTCACATCTGCGCCATCCGCTTGCGGACGAAGCGGGGAGCTTTCCCGGGAGCTTTCCCAGGACCCAGCTCCGAACCGACGTGCCCCGACGATCGGCTCCAAACCGCAACTGCGCAAACTGAGTCAATGCCGAAGATGTTGTTACCAGAATACTTTCTCAGCCCGCGGTCCGCGTGCGACTCGGTGCCGCTGTCAGAGGATGCGGTAACTGCTTCAGATGCCGCGCGGCTTCGTGACGCAGGTGATGTACCGATGCTGGTCAGAATGACTGAGGCAAAAGCTGTTGTATAGGGGAAAAAGTGATGTGTATGCTGGTCTGCGCGCGCGACCGGTGCATGTGTGACTGGGTGCGCCTCTGCCGAGTTGAAATCCCGTGTGACCTGACCGAGGTGGCTGGACAGCAGCATGTGACCCGAGCTGCTGTTCGCGGGCGGGTCAGGTCGGTAGCGGTTGTGGCAGCAGGATCGGGCAATTGGTTCGGCAATGTGTCCACGTGGTGTTGTTGCAAATGTATCAACATTATTGGTGTAAATATGTCACTGAATGGAATATTCAGCAAGTGTCTACTCATCAATAATGGCCCTCGTGTGATAGGTTTTCACAATAAGTTGCCCACCAATTAACATGTGGCAGGGTAAGCCATGGTTAATACCTGACAACGTACCTAGAACACAAATTAAAACACTACGAGCAATCTAATTGATGACAGTTAGCAAAGGATTGTTCCTATCATTGCTAGACACTGAACTGGTTTTGCAAAAGCGTCAGATATCTGCGCCTGTTACTGTGTTTTGTTTTATTGCCGCGTGATTAATGCTGGTGAATCTTAAACAATGCATTGGAGGTCGAAACTGAAATCAGTGACGTCTGTCTATGTTGCCGGATAGCTTCAAATGAGTTATACGGGAGACGTCAGGAAAAGTGTGCCACAAGTAGCCTATCCCACCTGAGAAATGAAGAAGACTCAAACATTTCAACAACTTGCAATTGCGAAAGTTCTTGACGAAAATGTGCGCTAGATTACAGTGGTGTTCGTCCCCACCACACTGTTTTTTCTGCCTCCCACGATCGTCACTGTCATGATTCATCAATGGTTGGTGACGAGCTACAGCTACATCATGCTGGATAAATCATTTTTCTGTGACATTTAATTAACCCAACAAAGGAGATGATAAGCATTCTGTTGAACCGCGAAGTTTTCATTCGTTAATGCAGTTAGCCAAGCACGAATGCAATACGATCAGGCAACATTACTTCCCCGAAACAATAGCTCAACATCTAATGAATATGCCTTTTTTCTCTCGCAAGCGCATCGCTTGCTCCGAATCTTTGCTTCAAGAATTGGTGCAGGTCTAGTTATCGCATTCGCTCCATGGCCTTTCCTAAAATGCAAGTTTAATCAGGATAGCATGCACGCAATTCGCAGTCTGCGTTTTTTTTGAAGCAGATGACCTTTCCAATATTGGAAAAACGCATAAGCTATGAACAAAAATTACATAGATCAAAGTGCAATAAATCTACGTGCATCTATGATGACTATGCCAACAGGAAAAACTTAAATGGGGGCGACCGATAGTGCCGTGGTTAAGCGGCGCATCTGGGATACCAAAGGAGCGGTGTTCGATTCTCCGTGGTGCCCGCTGTTCTTGCCAGGTTCAGAGGCCAGCGACGCCATGTAGTCTCAATAGCTGAGTGGCTTGTAAAGCCCCAATGACATGGAAACTGAAATTGATTTCGCAGCATAGCAGAGCCGAGAAGTGGCGCAACCGTTTCAATAATTCAGTCGCGCTAAAATGACATGTTTCTAGCTTTGTTGTACAGACCTCATGGACCGCGAAGGCCACGTCCCATGTCGGCGTTACGATTTGAAACTCAGGTGCTTAGCAAACCGGGCAACGAGTCAAATTGCCGTAATATATTCTGTTAGGCTAGTCAGGCCAGAAAACACATAAAGACGATATTTGAGGTCGGACACATTTTGTTTGCAAGGTAGCCGCGCGTAATGGTATCTGGGCATGCCCAGCACTTGCATGCATGGATGCATGTGTGCAATCTAAAAAATTCCATGAAATAGCTCTTACGGATTTGCGCCCAGTACATGATGCCAAGACAAAATAGAAAAGTTTATCGCCAGATTCCTATGCAGTCAAATACCAAACCAAGTACACGCATGCTGTCAGAAGCACTAAACCTACAACGTATACGACCATAAGCATTGCAAACGTGCAAAGGTAAAATAGCATGCAAGCATTAACGTACATCAGCCACAAGATCATCACATCTCACATCTCCGCCCAGCCTTTACGGCTGCCATCCCGCCCTCGCTCTCGGTACGCTTAAAGACTGACAGTGAGTGGCACTCAGCTGACACGCGCTCGGGTGGGGGGCGGGGAAATTGACCCACCGCCCGAAGGGTTTTCCAGAATGGTTTCCGAACGACGCGGCGTAGCCGCGCCAAATTTTCCATAGCTATAGAAAATTGAATTGCGGATCGTTTGGCGTCAACAACTCAGATGCACCTTGCAAGGTCGCTGACCTATGGCAGGTCAAATTCAGACTATGGTTTCAGTGGAGGCAATTTCTAGCGAATCCTTCAATCTGATTCAACAACGGAGTGTTAGACGAAGCCGTACCTCTCTGAGATGCTTTCGTAGGCAACATAGCAGTTGAATAAGTAAATTACATTGACCTAAGGTCAGGTATGAATGTCACACCAAGGTCAAAACCGACCTGTTTTGTTACCCTAGGGCTTGCTGTATGGAATAGCTTCTGGTGCTCATTTTGAATGCATTGATAGCAGGAACCGCATTATACATCACCCATGGACTTCTTAGAGGAACCTGAAACGTTGACCTAAGTGAGTTCACGTACAGATCAACACACCCTGTAAATTTGGTGTCTCTAGCTTTCTTAGTTCTGGAGGTCTTAATGGGGGAGGGGTCAAATTGCCCCCCACCCCCACCCCACCCGAGCAAAGGGTATCTAGCCGGCCACCCGGGCGCGTGTTAATCCGACCGGCAGCCCATTCCACGGGGACGACGCTCCGTATCGAAAGCCCCTTGGTGAGCTCGCCAGCCGGTGTTTTGGCAGCTCCAACCGTCTTGCTTCGGCGAAGCGAGTGGACCAGCGAGATCCCGAGGACCTGGCGGTAAACATGTTGTGCAATGCGGAGCCGTTCTGACAGTTTAAGCCTTATGGACTTTGGTAACGCCCCGCACCTCGACCGACCGCTCCACTCAGTCCGTCCCAGACCCTGGAGAGCCGGACCGGTCCTGTCCTGACGCCGTGTCCCTGTCACCATCTTAGCGGCAACATTTATAGCATTTTGAATCCTGTACAGTTTATTTTTGGCAGCGCCTCCCCATATTGAAAGGCAATGCAGATCGTCAGGGAATACGTGGGTTTTGATCAGAAGCTTTGATGTGTCCCGAGTGAAGTGAATGTTTCAAACTGACCTAGTGATGCCTTATTGTTACAGCCAGTCAGAATGCTTATATGCAGCTTGTGGGAGTAATTAAATTTGTTGCGATGCGCCATATTTGTCTGATGATGATTTTATCAGCGTGTTTTGCCCAGCCAGACATGACTGGACTGGATTCAGAAGTTTAAAAAGCCTGCCTGACGGACAGATTGGATTCTAGAAAGCCAGACCTGACTGGATCGGACCGTAAAAAAATTCTTCGCGAAGTATTCTGCTACCCTGGATGCTTCCTTCTTTGGAATTCTCCCTGTAGAGCTACCTTCAGAGCAAAGTGTGCCAGGGATGTCCTAAGAGCCACCAAGAACTCAAGCGGGCAGAACAGCGGAAGATCAAGAGGATCTCGGCGGAGACCTGCGCCCGGGTGATGGAGGTGCAGAAGAACGCGGCTCTTCACGGCAAACGAAAGCGCCCATCTAGAGTGTGTCCTGCAACTGGCATAACTAGTATGCTGTAAGAGATAAAAGGTAGGGAATCTGCCCGGCCTCGCCCGGTAGGACAAGACGAGTTCCAATGAGCAGCTGCCAGTGTGGTGCAGGTGTCACATGCGGACACATCAGCATATTTGAGCCTCACTCGTAGACGTGCATATGGGCTATATGAGCGCGTCTCTTTTAGACCTTCTGAACGGAAAGAACTCCTGGTGACTGTGTTTGTATTGCTTCGTAAAGAAGCTCACGCCTCACAGCAATGATATCTCCTACCACCGTGGAGGTCAAGTTATATTATCGCAGTTTGAAACCGGACAAGCACCAAATATCACTGCGCACTGAGACCAATTGTAAAACAATCTACCACTCAACACCGAACTGCAGGCAAATCGCACACGTTCGTCACCTGTCAGAGGGTGCGTTCGAAGCAGAGGGTGCTAGGTCATGTAATTCTGGGCACCTTCGCCGCCGCCGCACGCATTCCGAGCAATTCCAAGACCAAACGGAATGACATCACCATAACAACAGCTCTCGGCTGGCTTGTCTTCCCGAGCTCCTCGACCTACCGAGGAGTTTCCGTCCCCGACCTACGCCTCTGAACCTCTGAACTGCTGACCGGACAGTTCATGTTCCGGCTGAGCTGGACCGGCCGCCACTCGCCTCTTTGCCCAGTCGCCACGGGCGGCCACACATGCTGTTCAGGAAGCACAGACTGCCTCACCATGTCCTCAGTAGACACAGACTACTTCCACATGCATTCAGGTACACAGACTGCTTCCACATGTCCTCAGGAGGTACTCCGACGCCAGCTCGCCTCATGACGCGGGGGCGGTGGCGTCGCCGGCCGGCGCCGGTTCGCAGCGGCCCCGCTCGTACCACCAGCGGTGCAGCTGTTCGCCGCCGTGCGCCGGGAACGCCGAGCTATTGGCGCCCAGTCTGTGCAGCCGCGTGCACACTTCGCATGCCCAGTCGGCGGGCAGCACCTCGTGCGTGCCCTGCCAGCGACGGTAGGCGCTCAGCTGGTCGTCGCTGAGCCCGGTGAGGTGGCGCGCCAGCGCCTCGGGCCCCGAGAACGCCGCCGCGTCAATGAAGGAGTGCGGCGGCGCCAGACGGCGGTAATCGGCCGCGCCGCGCACCACCGGCACCATACCGTGCCGCAGCGCCTGGTGCAGCGGCGACGACACGAAGTCGACGCAGTGCGCCGCCTCCAGCGCCAGGTAGAAGGTGTAGTTGCCACGGAAGCGCGCGAAGCACTGCGCGGCCGAGCCGCAGCTGACGTTGGCGCATGGCCCGAGCACGTCCACGTCCATGTGGCGGCGCAGCTCGCGCACGTAGTGCTCGCGGCGGCTGGACGTGGCGCACAGCTGCGGCCGGAACACGGCGCGGCGGGCGGCGGATGCGGCGGCGACGACCGGCCGGCGCCGGGACCTCGGCCGCGACACCACGCGGCCGTACGTCAGCGGCACGTCCGAGTCACGCCGGTAGCTGACCGTCCAGTTGAAGACGCGGTCGTAGCGGCGGAGCTCGGGCGCACGGCGGCGCGCGGCCACCGGCGGGTCGAGCGCAAGCAGCGCCCACAGCTGGCTGGCGGGCCGCTCGTCCGCGCCTGGCGGCGGCATGCGGTGCAGGTCAGCCACCGAGAACAACACTAACGCCGCCTCATCCAGCCGCTGCTCCTGGTTGCTGAACGAGCAGCGGAAGCGGCAATCGCGCAGCCGCGGCACGCTGAACAGGCGCGCCCAGTTGTCGAAGCGGTCCCAGAGCGGCGTCCAGAACAGCACGAGCGGCCGGCGCGTGGCCGCCGCTGCCGCGCGCGTCTGCGCCAGCGGCGAGCGCAGCGCAGGCCCGTGATTAGCCGCCAGGTGACTTGACGACGAGTGCTGGATGAACAGCAGGAAGAGCGCAGTCGTCGCCAGGTAGAGCAGCAGCAGCGCCGATATGAACCGGTAGCTGTTGTTGGACGCCATACCGGCGCTGTGCGGGCAGCGGTGCTGCACCAGCTCCGTCACGTGCAGCCCGCTCGCCGTCGCGCCCAGGACCGCGGTCCACTGCACGCGGCCGTCTATAGCGCCGGCGCGACCCCCCGGCGCTCGCGCTGAAGTTTGATCTCTAGGTGTTTAGATAGGAGGTTCAGGGGTCAGCTGATAGCTGCGGCTCGGCGAGGCACCCGACGTTGGGGTTAGTGGATCAGCTGTTTGGTCGGCTGACGGGATGCATGCGGGACGGCTGGCTGCAGTTGTAAGCGGAGCCGCGCGATGCAGTCGACTAAACTAGGAGAACACACAAACCAAATGCATGAAAACAAAATGTATGACCGGTGGCGAAGTTAAACATGTCAGCTTTTCCCCAGCAAAGTTTAGTTTGCGTGAGATTCGGTCATTGGCCATTGTGTCCGTGGACGGTGAACGTGTCGGGAAGTAACCGCCGGCTGGAAGCCTAGCCAGCACGAGAGAATTTGACTACGCCGTCCGTGGTCGCGTGAATGGAAGCTGAGAAGTGTGCATGCGTATATGTAACAGGCATGATGAAAAAGTTTGCATAGCGAAGTGCACTTCGTACCTGCGTGTCCGACCCATCTGACCACTCACATTCCACGGCGAATGCCCCGGTCAGCGACGGAAGCGCGCTTTCTGAACTGTGTGGTGCCAACCGCATAAAACATGCCATCGCTTATCAGCATGGCACTTGAATGGCCGTAACCCTGAAAGGAGCGACACGTCTCGCTGACGATCCCGCGTTTGGTGTGCAGGAAAAATGGTATCAGTCATAGCGTAATACATGTCTTTTCCCCAAGCGTGAGGAGGGCAATAGGCCATATTTCGAAGGCGGCCAATCTTTATAACCTGACAGCGCGACTTGAACGACGTCAACACTCGAACCTGTTCGCAAGAGGCACCTCTTGTAAACTATCGTCTCGGTCGCTGACGCAGACAAAAATTGACATGTTTTCTTTCGGCCCGGGCGAATCGGGGCTCAAAGACAGGGGCGCGCTGTGGTGTCGCCGGTAGGGTGGGAAAGGATAGGAGGCTCACGCAGCCGCCGCCGCTGGAGGGGGGGAGGGGAGGGACAGCTTTCCTATTCTGCTGCAAAGCGTGCGACGGCTGGCGGCCGCCAGCGGCGGGATGGACCATTTCATCTCGACAGCGGCTTTACGGCTGGAGCCGGCAGGTTTTTGTGTGCCGGCGAGACTCGACAGGGATTGCCAACGCATCAGCGACCAGCGGCGGGCGCCAGTCTCGGGATGGGACGGTGGGTACAGGCTTGTGCTCGGCACACATTTGCGTTTTTCGAATTGATTTTGACCAAAGCGTTTTTAGAATCGAAACTCGAACCGGAATCAGGGCCATTTTTAAAGGGCGAGCTGAATCAATTTTTGATTTATGGCGTTCTCTTTTCTTGCTTTGGGTTCTTTCTTACAAAAAACTAGAGGTAAAATACAAATGGAATCAAAACGATTCGAGTAAGTAAAGTGGCGGTATTGCATGTCTCCCGAAACTTGGGCACCCGTTCAGTTACGTCATTAGCGTCTATACTTAGCTTAAGATCCGAGGGGTCTTAATCTAGCTATATAAAAAAACATTTTGATTTTTTGCGGAATATTGCGCGATGTATAAGGGTGCTGTAGGTAATATTGGCTCCAAGAAATACTTGAAATCTCGGCGATCTAATTTGCCCACAGTGGCCCCTCTAATCAAAGCTCGCCTTAAAACCCTCAAACCTCCAAGACCACAACAATGCTAAGGCGCAGATGAATGGAGCGAATGCATTAATTCTTTACAATTGTCCCATACCAACGGAGAATGAAAAGTTTGAGCAATGTTCAGAACTATTAATTAGCGTTCACAAGTGACATCAACGACAGTGTTGCAGATTTCTAGCTGCTAGCATGATACATTAGTGACGACCTCCCTCATGCCAATCCTTCTCGCGAGTCATGCGAAGGAAAATCTTGACAGTCTATAGCTCCTGCTTGTCAGTTAATTACAACCACCAACACTCACTCCACATCACGATGTCCATGTACAAATCCAACAGCAGATTTACGTCTACAGGCGTGTGAGCATACATGGTAACGAATGGTTCGCCTTATATAGTAGCTCCAATCGAAAACAAGGGATGGCCACGTGCTGAGAAATTCTGTGATTACCAACCGTGACAAGCGGGTATGGCATCGTACGATGGGCTGCTAAGCGAGTCATAGGGTATGGGATCGATCACCTTGCAATTCCGGAGCTATCTGATGGCTCCGACGCACCAGATGACGCACAATGTGGTGAGTGATCTGTTTACTAGGTGCCTGAGCTTGAACGGAGACGAGTCTAGTAGCTGCACATAACCCACCCACCGGCGGCTGACTGATGCTATAACGCGCCACCCTATCGAGGATGAGCCACTCGGGCGATGGGTCCATCTAATGCAACGCGACGTTTTTGTTACACCGCGGCGTTAGAACCTTTCGATGAAATTTGGAATAAATGTTTAAAATTTTAATCGTTCCCATTTTGGTCTAGGTGGAATATACGCAATTTGAATGCAAGATGTAAGACGTCGCACTATATTTACAGAACGCAGACTGATGCAACAACAGAACATGTCAATAATATATCCGAAAATATGAAAAATCGCCGTCGTCATTGAGGTTTACGACGCACTCAGCTACTCAGGCTTTACGGCATCGCCTACCTCTCACCCGGACAGGAAGGGCGGACACAGAGTGGAATCAAACTCCGTACCTCTGGTTTCCCAGACGTGCACCTTATCCACTACACTACCGGTAACCCCTGAATATGATAAGTAGTATATTACACGTCCACTGCGACTACATGCCTCATTACAGTACATTTGGAAATTTCTATTATGCTGAAAAGTTATTCGGCATACGGTGCCTCACACTTCTTGTTCTGTCCACTGATGGTGCTGCCGCAGTGTTGGAAACTTGACGTTTCCTGGTATAATGCATACCAGGAGATTTTGTACTCCAGGGTTGTGACTAGGTAAAATGAAATATTTTGTACTGCATCATGATGCAATAAGAACAGGTTTTGGAAAAACTCATTTTACCTAATTGTGCCAGGAGAAAATAAAACCAGAAAGTGCAACAGCTTGGGTCTTGCTGTTTCCATCAGGAGCCATGTATTTTTGCAAGAGCACAAACCTTGCACCCACCAGACTAATATGTCCAAAAGCAAGCAGCCTGTGTCGCCACCTCGGTATATGATAAATCATGTATGGAAATGTGAAATATAACGCGTGTGAATGTTGAATTGCATCGCCTTTGAACAATGCCGGGAAATGAGAAACGAGTACCAGAATCGCACCGGTCTGTAGATTAGCAAAGCTCTCACTTCCTATGCCCTACGCAGGCTAACTCAAACTTGAACATGACTTAACCTACCATTGACCACGAACCGCATTAAATGTCAAGGACGCAATGAACATTCATAGAACACCGCACGCCCAATCACCTACCGCAGACGGCCGCCTACCCACGCGCCACCACTGTGTCGTGGCAATGCAAGTAAGAGAATCACTCGCAATTCAGGATCGGAAACGTCTCAGCTATTCAGAGGCTTCCGCCTGCCCTGCAGTTCAGGCTGGGGGTTAAACATAACAAAACTCTCAAACTAGTTTTAATTAATCGCCTCCTCGTGACTGATTTGTCAAGAGCATAAATATTCTGCTCGCGCTCATGCCTTGAATAAATTGGTAAACGTTTGGAGGGAAGCTGTATAGAGATGGGCATCACGATTATGAAGGACTTATTTTTACTCATCCAGAACCCCCATGTGGTTGGATTTTTGACCACCTCCTGGAATCCGGAGTACAAAAATGTTACGGCAGCTGTGGATTTCAACCAAGTTAAATTTGTCACTTGAAGGTGTCAAAATTGAACCTGGAAATTCAGGCTTTACAAAAGTGCTACTTTAAGTCGAAAAATGTTGCTATAAATAGCCCCCAGAAATGTTCGGAGGGAGCCATCTCACTCCGCGCAAAAACACTAGGACCCAGAGTAACATGAACCCATTACTCTGGCCCCGCAAATTAAGGAGAGGTATTTATTAGGACAAAAACATAAATTAATTACAACAAATTATCATGTTCTGCAATGATATCGGTTAGAGCGCATCAAAATCCATCAGTACCTTGCATTATCCTCCGGAGTCAGCGGAGTGACTGACTCCGATCCCCTCTGGCCGGTCTGGATGGATCTGTCATACATTGTACTTGCGCTGGCTCGGTAAATCGGTCAGGAGTGCTGCCTGTCTCTATTGCTCGAGTGGGACATGCAGGGCCTCGTGTGTTGACCGGGAGTGGGAAGGTGGAGAGCACGAATGTTTAGCTGCTTTAAAACCAGTTAGCTGGTGGAGCGTGAGTAGCGTGACGTGATGGAGCGTGAGTAGCGTGACGTGATGGAGCGTGAGTAGCGTGACGTGATGGAGCGTGAGTAGCGTGACGTGATGGAGCGTGAGTAGCGTGACGTGATGGAGCGTGAGTAGCGCGATCGTGGTGGAGCATGAGTAGGTGGCCGTCTGTGGGATGTTCATTTGCATTTCTTGTGTACCATTTTTGACTGGCTGTGACGTATCGTTTCCCCCCCCCCCTTTGGAGGGTGTATAAGCCCGGTGTGTAGCCACTCTTCATTTTGGAGATTGTATAAGCCCGATGCGCAATTACCCCCCGTTTTGGAGGGTGTATACACAGAGCCTGTTATGAATTGCAAACCAATGTATATGCACATGTTTCATAGTGCTGAGTATGAAACTGTGTTATTTCAGTGTGTCATGTTTAATACTGATATTCACTCTCATTTAAGTGCTTTTACAGAAAGTGCTGTATATGAACAGTGGCGCTTTTGTTGAGTGCCACTCATTGTACTATTTCTCTCAAAGATGACCTAAATAAAGCTGTAATGACCTGCAGGACTTGGATAATTTTGTACTCAACTATAGAAAATTTGTACCACGCT